CCGTTAAAATTGTCCATAGCAAGAAGAAATTATGAACTTAATAGCCCACTGAGATCTCTTTGTGTATTTTATAACAGTTTATGTAACACTATTTGCTTATATAGTCCCTTGAACACAATAAAAAATTGTATTCTGCATATGTAATTTTTGTTGTGCTATGTCTATGCTAATATTTTGTTTATGTAACCTTATATTTATGTCTTCTTAACTCTATAGGCTCATTTTTACGGCATATTATCTACAACTCCCTCCGCGGAACCAGTAGAACTTCGCCTTTGAGCACCAGTTGTACATGTTATATAATGTTTGTTTTACTTCATCAAGCTTCGTGATCATCTGGCATCTGATCTACAATCCCTATGCCGAACAGTAGACGTGGCCAATGCGCAGTGCTTGTAGATTGTTGCTTTGTAAATTTATGTTTACTAATCTGTGTGTGACTTTTAAAATGTCTTTTGTATTTTAACCACTGGCTGATGTAGTTTCTGTAACCGGTGTAAAACCATTGCTAACCCGCCTTGGTCCGGACTTTGGTGTGTACGCGCTCTCTACCTTATAGGGAGAATGCCCCCTCGGTCGGCAGGGGCGGGTGTGAGAGGCGTGGGACCAAACGAAAAAAAATTTAAATTATTTTTATCTTCGCCTTTATTGTTCACCTTTCTTAAAAAAATATAATTGCTTGTTGTTGGTTATTTTGTCTCTATTAACTCATTTTTTTTACTTTTGTTTTTTTTTTTTTTTTTTTGTAGTTTTGACTGGGGAGCGTTTTATAACTTGTTTTTTCATAATGTGATAGATAATTATAAGTTATTTTGAATTTTTCTACTTGGTATTGAGTACCTTATTAATACAATTAATTGGCCTTGGAGGCTTTAGTATTAAGTATGAATTAAATAAAGAAAGAAAGAATGAAAGTCTTTTCCAGAGTGAAATATAAAATGTCCCGCTGTTCGGCAATACAAAATAGTGCACGCAGGAAAGGTCGTTCCAAGAGCTTTCTAAAACGCTATTACTTGGTGAAATCGATTGTGGAAAATTGAAGAAATATTGACTTTTTTTATTTTTTAAAGTTATTATCGAGTCCCACTGTGCGAAAACTATATAGACACTTCTAAAAGATTAATCGGACAGATTTTTTTTAAATAGTTTTTCTTAAATCAAGTGTTTTCCAGAGGGAGATATAAAATGGACCACTATGCAGCAATGACAAATGGTGTACGCATATGACTGGTACTGCAGGAAATGTCGCTCAAAGAGCTTTCTAAAACGCTATTACTTGGTCAAATCGATCGTGGAAATTTGGAGAAATATTGACTTTTTTATTTTTCAAAAGTTGCCATCGAGTCCCACTGTGCGAAAACTAAAAATAGTGCAAGCACATGGAATAGCACGTTGGAAAGCCCATGAGGTTTACTTTCAAGATATAGACACTTCTAAAGGATTAATCGGGCAGATTTTTCTTAAAAATAGTTTTCCTAAAATCAAGTGTTTTACAGAGGGAAATAGTGTACGCATATGACTGGTACTGCAGCAAAAGTCGTTCCAAGAGATTTCTAAAACGCTATTACTTGGCCAAATCGACCGTGGAAAATTAGAGCAATATTGACATTTCTGGTTTTTCAAAAGTTATCATCGAGTCCCATTGTGCGAAAACTAAAAGTAGCGCAAGCACATGTAATAGCACGTTGGAAAGCCCATGAGGTGTACATTCAAGATATAGACACTTCTAAAAGATTGATCGTACATTTTTTTTAAATATTTTTCTTAAAATTAAGTGTTTTCCAGAGGGAAACATAAAATGGCCCAATGTGCGGCAATAAAAAGTAGTGCACGCATATGAATGGTATTGCAGGAAAATCGATCGTGGAAAATTGGAGAAAAATTGTCTTTCGTGATTTTCAAAAGTCATCATCGAGTACGAAAACTAAAATTGGAATTGGACGTTGGAAAGTCCATGAGGTGTACTTTCAAGTTATAGAGACTTCTAAAAGATTAATCGGACAGTTTTTTTTAAATATTTCTCCTAAAATCAAGTGTTTTCCAGAGGGAAATATAAAATGTCCCACTGTGCAGCAATGAAAAATAGTTCATGCATATGAATGGTACTGCAGGAAAGGTCGTTCCAAGAACTTTCCAAAAGGCTATTACTTGGCCAAATCGATCGTGGAAAATTGGAGAAATATTTACTTTTCTGATTTTTGAAAAGTTATCATCGAGTCACACTGTGCGAAAACTAAAAATAGTGCAACCACATAGAATAGCACGTTGGATAGACCATGAGGGGTACTTTCAAGTTAAAGAGACTTCTAAAAGGTTAATCGGAAAAGTTTTTTAAATATTTTTCCTAAAATCAAGTGTTTTTTCAGAGGGAAGCATAAAATGGACCACTGTGCAGCAATGAAAAATAGTTCATACATATGAATTGTACTGCAGGAAAGGTCGTTCCACGACCTTTCTAAGACGCTACAAAAATTAACATTTCTGGTTTTTCAAAAGTTACCATCGAGTCCCATTGTGCGAAAACTAAAAATAGCGCAAGCACATGGAATAGCACGTTGGATAGTATATCTTGAAAGTACATGGACAGTCAAAATTTTGGGATATCGACATTCTTACGAATTTCTGTAAAAATGTTCAGAAGTGTGCAATTAACAAATAAATGCATTAAATGTCGTTCCGACAGTGGCGTATGCGATTCTGCATCATCCATTCTGTAATAAACTCATTGGTTCTATTTTTTCTATGGACAGTCAAAATTTTGGGATATCGACATTTTCACGAATTTCTGTAAAAATTTTCAGAAGTGTGCAATTAACAAATAATTGCATTTAATGTCGTTCTGACAAGGCGTATGCGTTTATAAACTCATTGGTTCTATTGTTTCTAAGAACAGTCAAAAGTTTGGGATATCGACATTTTCACGAATTTCTGTAAAAATGTTCAGAAGTGTGCAATTAGCAAATAAATGCATTTAATGTCATTCTGACAATGGCGTAAGCGATTCTGAATCATCAATTCTGCTATAAACTCATTGGTTCTATTTTTTCTATGGACAGTCAAAAGTTTGGGATATCGACATTTTCACGAATTTCTGTAAAAATGTTCAGAAGTGTGCAATTAACAAATAAATGCATCTAATGTCGTTCTGACAATGGCGTTTGCAAGTCTGCATCATCCGTTCTGTAATAAACTCATTGGTTCTATTTTTTTATGGACAGCCAAAATTTTGGGATATCGACATTTTCACGAATTTCTGTAAAAATGTTCAGAAGTGTGCAATTAACAAATAAATGCATTTAGTGTCGTTCTGACAGTGGCGTATGCGATTCTGCATCATCCATTCTGCTATAAACTCATTGGTTCTATTTTTTCTATGGACAGTCAAAATTTTGGGATATCTACATTTTCACGAATTTCTGTAAAAATGTTCAGAATTGTGCAATTAACAAATAAATGCAACTAATGTCGTTCTGACAATGGCGTTTGCAAGTCTGCATCATCCGTTCTGTAATAAACTCATTGGTTCAAAATTTAGGATATCGACATTTTCACGAATTTTTGTAAAAATGTTCAGAAGTGTGCTATTAACAAATAAATGCATCTAATGTCGTTCTGATAAAGGCGTATGCAAGTCTGCATCATCCGTTCTGTAATAAACTCATTGGTTCTATTTTTTCTACGGACAGCCAAAATTTAGGATATCGACATTTTCACGAATTTCTGTAAAAATGTTCGGAAGTGAGCAATTAGCAAATAAATGCATTTAATGTCATTCTGACAATGGCGTAAGCGATTCTGAATCATCAATTCTGTTATAAACTCATTGGTTCTATTTTTTCTATGGACAGTCCAAATTTTGGGATATCGACATTTTCACGAATTTCTGTAAAAATGTTCAGAAGTGTGCAATTAACAAATAAATCCATCTAATGTCGTTCTGACAGTGGCGTGTGCGATTCTGCATCATCCATTCTGCTATAAACTCATTGGTTCTATTTTTTCTATGGACAGTCAAAATATTGGAATACCAACATTTTCACGAATTTCTGTAAAAATGTTCAGAAGTGTGCAATTAACAAATAAATGCTGTTAATGTCTGTTTGAGGATTGCCTATTTTGACAACCCCGGAATATGTTTCATATGTAATTAAACACACTCCTAACTCAAGGGTTCGACTTGAGTATGTAAATTGACTTACTCTGGGCAATTGTGTTGTCTATAGGGCCACTTACGACAAAGGTGTTTTAATACACCTCTCCGCCTTTAATCTGACCACGGTTATCCAACAGCAAGTAGAATTCCCTGAGCAAGTTCTTTCTCCTGGAAGAGCAATTTGTCCAAATATTTTCTTCCTCTGTTGAGACACGCCAAAATTCTCGCCTTCGTTTAGTTCCACTTTTAGCTTAATTTTTATGCAATTTTCTCCAAAATTAATTTGCAATTTTTACTCAACCACTGTGTTGGGTAATATCTACTTTTTTGTTTGCCTCTAGCCCGTCACCAAATTAAAACACTTCTTCACTCTTTAGTTGTTTCAAATAAGAATGTTTTATTTCTTTTCTATTCTGGTTTAACAACCAAAAGAATAGCGGGACAATATTTTTTGCATTGAATAGCAGCAGAGCGATCAGCAGAGGCAGAGCAATAACATAAACAGAGATGATGCACTCAACGTATGTATGTATGTTTGTACGTATGTGCGTTCTCTGCCTATTACTTGATCGTCTGACTGCTCATCCATATTTACAATAACAATGCTAGTTATGATGGATTCTCTTTAGGGCGAATTCAAAGTAAATAATAGAAAAGGGAAAACAGAAAAAATAGTAAGGTGGCTCTTGTAGCGTTGAAATATTAAGTAATGAAAATAATTAATTTAAATAATTTTATGATTTCAAAAATGCTCTTTGATTAACAAATTAAATTTAAATAATATTAACAAATCATTTGAGTGATTTAACATCCCGGGCCCCATTGAAACCCTGGTTTCAATCAAACTTTATTCTTTAGGAAGTACGGCTAACTTTGCCACGGGACGCTTTAATGTAGTTTGTGATGTCTTGACTTCTGCCTCTCGAACAAAACCGTCTGCTCCTGGAATAAGTTTGGTAACACGACCGATGGCCCATTTCATGGGGGGAACATTGTCTTCGTGTATGAGCACCATATCGTTGACTTGAAGATTTTGTTGTGGGTTTTTCCAGCGATAACGATTTTGTAACTGAGCCAAGTATTCTGTGTGCCACCTGCTCCAGAAATGAGACTTTATGGCTGAGATTCGTTGCCACTGTTGTAGATGAGAAATGTCAGAGTCATATTTTATCTTCTCTGGAATACACTGCAACGGGCAACCAATGAGTAAATGCCCTGGAGTAAGCGCTTCTAAGTCGTTGGGATCTGTGGATATCTGGCAGATAGGACGGGAATTTAAAATTGCCTCTATTTCAACAAGGGCTGTGCATAGCTCTTCAAATGTAAGACGAGCACTAGGGAGAGTTCTGAGCAAGTGGCCTTTAGCTGATTTCACAGCAGCTTCCCATAGTCCACCAAAATGAGGAGCTCTGGGAGGAATGAAGGAAAATTCTATGAACTTCGCAGATGAATAATGAGCAACTGCTTCCTTATTTTTGTCGAGGTGGAAAAATTTATGAAAATCACTCAATTTCCTCTCTGCTCCAACAAAATTGGTAGCGTTATCGCAATAAATTCTTGACGGTACACCTCTGCGGCCAGCAAACCGTTTTAATGCTGCTATGAAGGCCTCGCTGGACAAGTCGGATACCGCTTCTAGGTGTACTGCCTTTGATGCGAAACAAACGAAGACAGCAATGTAGGATTTTGATGGAGCTTTCCCTCGAATCCTGAGATACGTTGGTATGGGACCAGCAAAATCAACTCCAACAACATCAAATGGGCGGAAACCGGTAACTCGATCCTTGGGTAAGTTGCCCATTACCTGAGTGAGTAATTTCGGTTTGTATCTTGTGCAATGTATGCACTGATGAACCACCTTTCGGGCCAAAGACCGACAATTGACAATCCAAAATTGCTGCTGAACCAAAGATACTAAGGCTCTTGGACCAGCATGGTAATTAGAGCGATGAATGTAGATCATCATGATTTTTACGAAGGGATCGGTTTTGGGCAGGAGCAAAGGAAACTTCATCTCTGGTGTAAGCTCGGCATTTAATAATCGGCCGCCAACTCTTATTATTTGCACTCCAGAGACATCTTCTATAAATGGAGCCAATGATGACAGCTGACCAGAGACAAATCCATGCTTTGATATTTCAAGAAATTCCTCCGAAAAATAATGTTGTTGAATGCACCAGACTATCCTATGGAGAGAATGTGTCAACTCATCTGGAGATATAGAGGGCAAGTGGAGCGATTTCCTTGAACGAATTCGAAATATATATGAGAATATTCTGAGACATTTTAAATAGTTACTGAATTTATGGACTGCTTTTAGGATATAGGGTAAGTCCTCCTTTTTTGTTACCAATGTAATTTTTCGTCTTTCAAGCTGCATGTCCGCTTCGCTCAGACTTGGGCCAGAATAATTTGGCCAATTGAAAGATGGGCCAATAAGAAAGGAAGGGCCTACGAACCAAGGCGAAACCAGTATATCGGAGACAGAACAACCTCTGGATACTAAATCAGCGGGATTGTGTTCAGTAGGAACATATTGCCATAGGACATCAGGGCAAGTTTCTTGAATCTCAGCTACTCTGTTACCCACAAAAGTAGACAAGGTTGAAGAGTGGGAATTAATCCAATGAAGAGTAATCTGAGAATCCGACCAGAAGTAGATTTGGGAAATCGGGAAGTTAAAATATTGCTTTAATTGGCTCCAGAAGGTTGCGAGTAAATGAGCAGCACACAACTCTAATCGAGGCAATGTTCTCGTTTTCAAAGGCGCAACTCTTGACTTTGATGCGATTAAATTTACTGATATGTTTCCCAAAGAATCTTCACAGCGAAGATACAAACAGCAACCATATGCCTTTATTGAAGCATCTCCAAATCCATGGACCTCTATGTTAGTTGAATTTGGTAGTCGAATGTATCGAGGAATCTTTACTTGGGACAAATTATTGTAATCAGCCATGATGGATTCCCAAGCTGATTCAATTTCTTGAGGAACTGATTCATCCCAATCACATTTTATGATCCAAAGATGTTGGAGCAATATTTTTGACCTAATGATGAGAGGGCTTATTAAACCCATTGGGTCAAAGAGCGTCGACGTCAGGGAAAGAATGTTTCTTTTTGTATTATGTGCATACGTTTTGGATGGGCGAAACTCAAAATGGAATGTGTCATTATCTGAGTGCCATGTCATACCCAAAGTACTTGTGACGTCATCATTTAGCTTCATTTCTTTTACTTCATCTTCACTTGAGACATAACCTGGGTAATTGCTATGCCATTTCGAGAGTGAAAATTTCGAGTAAGATAAAATTTCGGTGACTTCGTTCTTAATGCGTTTTAAAGATACAAGGTCATCCGCTCCAGTAACCATATCGTCGACATAAAAATCATTCATGATTATGCCTTTTCCTACTTCGTATGGGTTGGGAAAACGTTCTGCGGCATAATGTAGGCTTCGAATTGCGAGATATGGTGCCGAAGCTGTCCCGTATGTAACGGTGTTGAGGGCAAATGTTTTTATCGGTTTGGTGGAGTCATCTCTCCACAGTATAAGCTGAAGTTGTCTATCCTCAGGGTGAACCAAAACCTGACGATACATTTTGACGATATCAGCTGTCATTCCGTAACGATGACACCTGAAACGAAGCAGAGTAATTAATAAATTGTTCTGGATTGTTGGACCCACCATCATAATTTCATTCAGGGATGTTTGTGAAGAGGTTCGACATGATGCGTCGAAAACAACACGCAACTTGGTCGACACACTGCTGGGGCGAAGAACACAGTGATGTGGTATGTAATAGTTGGGAACTGAAATATTAGTGTCGTCCACCTGAGACATATGGCCCAATTCCTCATATTCTTTAAGAAATTGTGAGTAATCCTCTTTTAATTCAGGGTTTTTGTTCAATTTTCTCTCTATGGAAAAGAAACGACGCAAGGCAATGTCTCGTGAATCGCCAAGCACATTTGGGTCACCTTTAAAGGGTAATCTCACCATTAAGCGTCCATCCGATTGAACTGATACATTTTTCACAAAATGGTCTTCACATACTTTTTGTTCTCGGGACATATTTTGGCATTTGCTTTCAACGACGTCAATTTTCCATAGCATTTCAATATTTTTATTTATCTCTTGGAAAATATCTTTGTGTTGTACAATGGAGTAAGTAGACCTTTGTGATGATATTGCCGTTTGACTTGTATACTTTCCAGAGACAATCCATCCCAAGAGAGTTTTTTGTAAAGTGGGCAAATTTTCTCCAAGTTTAATTTGACCAACGGATAAGAGCGAAAAGAATGATTCTGCTCCGAGTAAAATATCGATTCCTCGTCGACGATGAAATTCTGGATCAGCTAGCTCTATGTTGGAGGGCAAATTGAAATCATTAACGGAAAGATTCTCATCAGGATGATAACCAGTTATATTGCGAGAAACCAGGAACTCTAATGACATATTGAAGTTATTAAGACGAGATCTTATTGTCGTTTGTGTTTTATGAGTGACTCTCAACTTCGAAGAGCCAACTCCAGAGACATCTGTTGAATTTGTGCATTTCTTGAGATTAAGAGATTTGCATAATGTCTCACTTATGAAGTTAACTTGAGAGCAAGAGTCAAGCAGAGCACGGCCCAATTGATATTTTCCCTCTGAGTCACGAACCAATACTAATGCAGTAGCAAGAATAACAGCACTCACTTGGGGACTGGGTTTGTTTTGAAAGGTGCTATGTGTAGCAGCAGATGATGATGACGGTTCTTCTTCTTTCTGGGGACAGGTTGGTTCTAATTGCTTATGAAGAAGCGAGTGATGACGTTGTTTACAAAATCTACATGAATATTTTGAGGGGCATTGTATGTAACCATGCCCTTTTGATAAACAGTTGAGGCAAAGTTTTTGTTGCTTAGCTTGTTCAATTCGTTGATTAGGAGTAAGAACGATGAACCGCTGACAAGTTGATATCATATGACCCGATTTGGAGCAATGACTGCACACAAAATCTTGAGCCACATTTTTTGTTACGAATGAATGTGGTTTTTGATTATTACTATGTGAGTAATTTGTTGTTATGGAAGGGTTATGCTGTTTTGAAGACCGTCGGCACTGTGCGTCCAATTGCTGACAACGCTTGTCCAACATGGAGCAACATTCAGACCAAGAGGGTAATTTAGAGTAATCGACGTATTCATCCCATCGTTGTTTGGTTTCAGAATCAACCTTGCTCATTGCGAGATGAATTATGAAGGCATCACAAATTTGTTCAAAGGAGCCAAGGGATTTCAAAGAGCTATAGAGAGCAGAAATTGTATCCACAATATTTCTCAATTGCTTTGGAACAGGTTTATTGGACTTCGGAAGTTCAAACATTGATGTCACATTTTCAAGGAAGATTAGTGTGTCATTATCGTACCGCTCCTTCAATCTTTTACGGGCACTAGAATAATTTTCATCAGTGACTTGGAATGCCTTTATGGTTGCAAGCGCTTCCCCACTAAGACACGAGAGTAAGTGGTTGAATTTTTCCGAAGTAGAAATATTTGGGTCATTGTGGACCAAATTGTTAAACGTATTTATAAAGTTCTTGTATTCCAGATATTTCCCATCAAACTTGGGTAATTTTAAGCTGGGTAATCTATTAGATGGGACATGAGGCAACACAAAAGATTGATCAGCTATACTAAGACGTCTACCTTGCCCAATTTGAGTAAGAATTTTAGTTTTAATTGAAACATACAGTTCCTCAATTTCGGCTCTTCCATTATCTCTGGGGGACAATCTTTCTATCTGACTTTGGTAGTAAGAAGCTTGCTTGTAGTGGGATTCTACAATTCCCAACCGACACTCAAGTTCTGTATGAGACAATGAAGTGTTGGATTCAATTATATTTTTAATTCGGGTCATACTCCCCTTTGACGAGCCACGTTGTTGTTTCAATTCCTCAATGGTTGTGTCCTTTTGGGAACCCTGGACTTGTTCATCAGTCATTTGGAATTATAATTTATTATAAATTTGTGTAAAAATGTTTTCTGTTGTTTACCGATGATAGGATTATGTTGCGCAAGAAAGAGAAGCCGGTTTATGAGAATGCCGTCTCAGTCTAATTTTCAGCTTCAGCCACTTGAGCAACGATAGTTTTAAAAATGGCACCAAAAAATTAGATGAAAAGTAGGCGAGAATGCTGTCTCACTCTAAATTTTCAATTCAGCAATATTCCTTATCGCTTATAAAAATGGCTTCGATTCTTTCGCAAAATGACGGAGTAATGGCTGACAGTAAAAAGGCGGGTAAACAAAATCCAAATGCACTTGGGTAATATGGAGCAAAAATTGTAGGTTAAAAAGACACAAGTGTCCTGTCACGGTCGCCAATGTTTGAGGATTGCCTATTTTGACAACCCCGGAATATGTTTCATATGTAATTAAACACACTCCTAACTCAAGGGTTCGACTTGAGTATGTAAATTGACTTACTCTGGGCAATTGTGTTGTCTATAGGGCCACTTACGACAAAGGTGTTTTAATACACCTCTCCGCCTTTAATCTGACCACGGTTATCCAACAGCAAGTAGAATTCCCTGAGCAAGTTCTTTCTCCTGGAAGAGCAATTTGTCCAAATATTTTCTTCCTCTGTTGAGACACGCCAAAATTCTCGCCTTCGTTTAGTTCCACTTTTAGCTTAATTTTTATGCAATTTTCTCCAAAATTAATTTGCAATTTTTACTCAACCACTGTGTTGGGTAATATCTACTTTTTTGTTTGCCTCTAGCCCGTCACCAAATTAAAACACTTCTTCACTCTTTAGTTGTTTCAAATAAGAATGTTTTATTTCTTTTCTATTCTGGTTTAACAACCAAAAGAATAGCGGGACAATATTTTTTGCATTGAATAGCAGCAGAGCGATCAGCAGAGGCAGAGCAATAACATAAACAGAGATGATGCACTCAACGTATGTATGTATGTTTGTACGTATGTGCGTTCTCTGCCTATTACTTGATCGTCTGACTGCTCATCCATATTTACAATAACAATGCTAGTTATGATGGATTCTCTTTAGGGCGAATTCAAAGTAAATAATAGAAAAGGGAAAACAGAAAAAATAGTAAGGTGGCTCTTGTAGCGTTGAAATATTAAGTAATGAAAATAATTAATTTAAATAATTTTATGATTTCAAAAATGCTCTTTGATTAACAAATTAAATTTAAATAATATTAACAAATCATTTGAGTGATTTAACAATGTCGTTCTGACAATGGCGTATGCGAGTCTGCATCATCCGTTCTGCTATAAACTCATTGGTTCTATTGTTTCTAAGAACAGTCAAAAGTTTGGGATATCGACATTTTCACGAATTTCTGTAAAAATGTTCAGAAGTGTGCAATTAGCAAATAAATGCATTTAATGTCATTCTGACAATGGCGTAAGCGATTCTGAATCATCAATTCTGCTATAAACTCATTGGTTCTATTTTTTCTATGGACAGTCAAAATTTTGGGATATCGACATTTTCACGAATTTCTGTAAAAATGTTCAGAAGTGTGCAATTAACAAATAAATGCATCTAATGTCGTTCTGACAATGGCGTTTGCAAGTCTGCATCATCCGTTCTGTAATAAACTCATTGGTTCTATTTTTTTATGGACAGCCAAAATTTTGGGATATCGACATTTTCACGAATTTCTGTAAAAATGTTCAGAAGTGTGCAATTAACAAATAAATGCATTTAGTGTCGTTCTGACAGTGGCGTATGCGATTCTGCATCATCCATTCTGCTATAAACTCATTTATTTTTACAGAAATTCGTGAAAATGTCGATATCCCAAAATTTTGACTGTCCATAGAAAAAATAGAACCAATGAGTTTATAGCAGAACGGATGATGCAGACTCGCATACGCCATTGTCAGAATGACATCAAATGCATTTATTTGCTAATTGCACACTTCTGAACATTTTTGCAGAAATTCGTGAAAATGTCGATATCCCAAACTTTTGACTGTTCTTAGAAACAATAGAACCAATGAGTTTATAGCAGAACGGATGATGCAGACTCGCATACGCCATTGTCAGAACGACATTAAATGCATTTATTTGTTAATTGCACACTTCTGAACATTTTTACAGAAATTCGTGAAAATGTTGATATTCCAATATTTTGACTGTCCATAGAAAAAATAGAACCAATGAGTTTATAGCAGAATGAATGATGCAGAATCGCACACGCCACTGTCAGAACGATATTAGATGGATTTATTTGTTAATTGCACACTTCTGAACATTTTTACAGAAATTCGTGAAAATGTCGATATCTCAAAATTTTGGCTGTCCATAAAAAAGTAGAACCATTGAGTTTATTACAGAACGGATGATGCAGACTTGCAAACGCCATTGTCAGAACGACATTAGATGCATTTATTTGTTAATTGCACACTTCTGAACATTTTTACAGAAATTCGTGAAAATGTCGATATCCCAAAATTTTGACTGTCCATAGAAAAAATAGAACCAATGAGTTTATAGCAGTTTTTATTGAACGTTCCACGTTCTGGTATAGTCCCCAATATAACGGTACCTCCCAATATTCGGTATTTTGATTATTAATGCCACATTTTTTCACGGATTTGTCTGAAAATTGGTACTTATAGGTCATAATGGGTACCTGTGTGTGTGTGAAAACATTGCATGTATGGGTCCACGTTTTGGTATAACCCCCATATAAAGGTACCTCCCGATTTTCGGTATTCTAACTTTTATTTCCATATTTTTTCACGGATTTGTCTAAAAATTGGTATTTGTGGGTCATAATGGATTCAGTGCGTGTGGCGGAGCATTGTATGTATAGGTCCACGTTTTGATATAGTCCCCATATAACGGTACCTCCCAATATTCGGTATTTTGATGATTTTTGACACATTTTTTCAAGAATTACTCTGAAAATTGGTAGTTGTAGATCATAATGGGTCCCAGTTCGTGTGGCGAGTCATTGTAATTATAGGTTAACGTTTTGGTATAGCCCCCATATAACGGTACCTCCCGACATTCGGTAATTTGATGATTTTTGCCACATATTTTCACGGATTTGTCTGAAAAGTAATATTTGTAGTCATAATGGGTTCTAGCTCCGTTGAGGAAACATTGTATGTATAGGTCCATGATTTGATATAGCCCCCATATAACGGTACTTCCGGATATTCGGTATTTTGATGGCTTTTGCCACATTTCTTCTAATGTTTCCTTTACAATAAGGTGGAGGGTATTAAAAGTTTGGCCTGGCCGAACTTAATGTTTTTTTGTTACTTCTTTTTAAATATTTTTCCTAGAATATAGAGTTTTCCAGAGGGAAATATAAAATGGCCCACTGTGCAGCAATAAAAAATAGTGCACGCATATGAATGGTACTGCATAAAAGGTCGTTCCTAGAGCTTTCTAAAACGCTTTTACTTGGCCAAATCGATCGTGGAAAATTAGAGAAAAATTGACTTTTCTGATTTTTCAAAAGTGATCATAGTATCCCAGTGTACGAAAACTAAAAATAGTGCAAGCACATGGAATAGCACGGTGGATAGCCCATGAGGTGTACTTTCGAGATATAGACACTCCTAAAAGATTAATCGGACAGATTTTTTTAAAAATATTATCATCGAGTCCCACTTTGCGAAAACTAAAAAAAGTGCAAGCACATAGAATAGCACGTTGGAAAGCCCATGAGGTGTACTTTCAAGATATAAACTTATCTGTTAAGTTAATTAATCAAAATTATCTGTTAAGTTATTGCATTTTTTACAAAACAATCAGAGGTGGTGTTCCTAGGTTTCTGGCTAATATGTTCAGTTTTTCCAAGTCAACTAGGAGTACTCAGATATTATTGTTGTTGGTTATTTTGCCTCTATTGACTCATTTTTATACCCTCCACCATACTATGGAGGGTATATTAATTTTGTCATTCCGTTTGTAACTCCTCGAAATACTCATGTCAGACCCAACAAAGTATATATATTCTTGATCAGCGTAAAATTCTAAGACGATTTAGCCATGTCCGTCTGTCTGTTGTAATCACGCTATCTTTCGAACAAATTGAGATAGAAGGGTAAAATTTTGCACACATGTATATTTTGCCAGTAGGCAGGTTAAGTTCGTAAATGGGCCATGTAGGTCCAAGTTATCATATAGCCCCCATATAACTGTACCTCCCGATATTCAGTATTTTTATGATTTTAGCGACATTATTCGCCGGAATTGTTTCAAATTTGGCATTTGAAGTTCGTATTGAATACTACAGCCTAAAACAGAAAATTATCTGTGCAGGTCCATGTCTTCGTGTAGCCCCCATATAACGGTACCCCCCGATATTCGGTATTTTTATGATTTTTGCGACATTGTTTACCGGAATCGTTTCAAATTCGGTATTTGAACTTCGTAATGGATACTACATCCTAAGTCAAAAAATGAGCCATGTAGGTCCACTTCTTCATATAGCCCCCATATAACGGTACCCCCCGATATTCGGTATTTTGATGATTTTAGCGAAATTATTCAGCGAAATCGTTCCAAATTTGGTGTTTGAAGTTCGTAATAGATACTGCAGCATAAAACAGAAAATGGGCCATATAGGTCCACGTCTTCATATAGCCCCCATATACCGTACCCCCCGATATTCGGTATTTTGATGATTTTAGCGACATTATTTACCGGGATTGTTTCAAATTTCGCATGTGAATTTCGGAATGGATACTTCAGCCCATGCCAGAAAAATGTCTGTGCAGGTCCATGTCTTCGTATAGCCCCCATATAACGGTACCCCCCATATTCGGTATTTTAATGATATTAGCTAGATTATAAACAGATTTTTCTTCAAGTTTCGCATTTAAATAGTGTAATAACTTATGACAAAAGGTTCCTATGCTGGCCCACGCCGTCGTATAAGCATTCGGTATTCTTAAGATTTTAACAGAATTTTTAACGGATTTTATTTATTAGAAAATGCCAAATTT